AAGAGTTAGAGTCAACGTGTTGCTGAAAGAATAGAAATAATAGAGAGTAGAAGTTCTGACTCCGGCGTGCTGCAAATCAGAAAGCAAATGTTAGTAGAAATGGGGAAAGCCAGAAGTTCTGGGTTCAGACACAATAAAGTTCTGGGGTTGTTGGGAACAAAGGAAAACCTAGAAGTTCTGATTGCTAATAGAGCCTAGAAGTTCTGATGCAGTTGGAAATCTAGAAGTTTTAGTGTTACTCGAAGGCTAGAAGTTTTGGTTGTTGAGAGAGCCTAGAAGTTTTGATGCAGCTGGAGACCTAGAAGTTCTAGTGTTACTAGAAGGCTAGAAGTTCTGTTAATGACAATGCTGTTGGATGAGAATGTCTAGAAGTTCTGGTCCAGGGGTACTGTTTTGACAAACAACTGGGAGGTAGTTTATCTAGAAGTTCTGGTATAGGATCATTGTTCGAAAAATGATGAGGTAAAAATGTTAAGAAATAAACGTAAAAGGTGTTTCTGGGATTAGAACCCTGGACCCTTAACACTAATGCCTTATGTGCGCGCTCTTTACCACTGGGGTGGTTGTACATCCGGTATTAGAAGCAAAAACATAAGCATATATTACAAAGTAAGTTCTGATGATGAACTTCATCTCCTTCTTTGCGCCAACCAGAGTATCTGCAACTTAGTCATTTCTAAACAAAAAATGGAAAATGCAAACATAGAAGTTATGGAAAATTTTATCAGGATTTCAGAAATACAAAGCATCAAAAATGTAAACCAGAAGTAAGCATGAATTTTGCTAATCCTAATTCTGGACCCTAATTTCCTCAAGAAGTTCTGATATGAAATTCTCTCTACTTAGGCCATATAAATGAAATCTATAAATATGTACAGATTCAGAACCATGATATCTACATCGTGTCTTTGAAATTGCAAGCCTAACAATGCCTAAGTAATGAGATGAAAATCAGAAGAAACTTACCTTGCAGCTGGAAATTATTCTGTGAGATAGACCCTGGTTCAGATTGATGTGATGTTCTGGTCGGCTTCCTCAAGTTCTCAGAAAGCTAAAGCAGCCCTTAACTTGAGTTATGGATGGTTGGAATGCTTTGGAGCAGTCAAGATGCAAAGTTCTGATTTTTAAAATGGAGATTGGTGAAGATTGTATTACAGTTTGAAAACAGAAGTTGAGAAAACTTCTACGTGTATACCAAAAACTGTGTGGATGATTTGGCCAAGAAACACACAAGAAAAATTAGAATTTGGATGCAAAAATCAGAAACTAGCAGGTTTTGTGTTTGTGTTGCAGTTTCAGGTTCTTGGGAATTTTCAGCAAGGTTTCAGGGCTTTCTTTCAAAAAAAATTTCAGTTTGCAAATGAAGTTTAATTTATAGGCAAAGGATTTAGAAACTTGGAGAAGTCAGGAGTACAACCATCATGTGTTATGGATTGTTGACTTGTTTTTGAAGCAAGTTTAGACAAGCATGTTTCAAGGCAAGGTAGGGTGGTTAGCATCTTTAAACACACCTAATCTGAGTTTGTAGGCATGATTTATGGGGAAGTACGCTCAGAAACAAAGTAAGGTATGGGCTCAAAATAAACTTGTACAAAAGTTTACTTTTCAAGGACAACAGTGGTACTTTCTTGCCACACGTGGGGAGATCTTTTGGATAAAGGCCTAAACACTAGGATAAAGACTCTAAAGTTGGTGTAAGCATTAAATATGATGATATTTAACAAGCAAGAAGGCCTGCAACATGAGATTATACAACATAGCCTGAAACTAGATCAGAAGTTCAACATAAACGTAACTTAGATTAAGAATAAATGTTCAACTTCTTATCTTTGATTCTCCCTGCTTCAGCATGATCTGAAGGAGTTCTCAGACTTTTCAGAAAGCTTGTAACATACTTTGTAATTCCTCTTTGCACCATTTTTGCAAACCCTGATTGTACCTACGTGAAAACTGGCCCAGAAGTTCTACTCAAATTCTGACTTGAAAATGTTCAGAATTTACTAAGTGTTTTAGTTTCATGGACGTGTCTTCTAGGATTTATAACTTGAAATCCCAGCATTTCTAGGAGAAGTTCTGTTCTACAATGTTTTATATCTTATTGATATTTACAACTCTTGTGTCAAAAGTTCTTCCTGAATCAATTTGCATCATGATGAAAATCTGGCCAGAAGTTCTGAACTTATCATATTTTCTTAACACTTAGGAAAATTTCTAAGTGTTTAGAACTTTGACTTTTCCAAAGTAATTTTGACTTTTGATTTTCTTGATAGACCAACTTCATATTCTAGCATATCTTGATGAAACATGATTCTTAAAACTTGATTTTGATTAAAAAAAAGTCAAAGTTTGACTTTTTAGTATGCATTTTGACCATTTTGCTCTTGTGTCAATTTCAAACCTAAATTGATGTATTAGTGCTGCAAACTTGAGTCAAGGAAGATCTAGTGAGAAAAATTTTGAGAAGTGAGAGGGCAAATTTCGGGGTACAACACCAACCATGCGTTACATTTGGATTTACAAATATCTGCCCATGAAACCTAATTGATCATGCGTCTGTTTCCCTCACCTTTCCAAAGAAAAGCCATATGAATATTTGTTATTTCCTGTAATAATTTTTGGCGCTCTATAAAATGAGAAGAAAAATAAATGGAATAGAATTAAGAACCACATCAATCAACATCAAGCGACCACCAAAAGAGACATGTTTTTCTCTCCACAACGAGAGCATGCTCCTAAGCTTCACTAAAATCAGATCCCACGTCACTTTTTAACGCAGATTAGCACCTATTAGATTCCCCAAGAAGATGAAAGGAATTTGAGAAATAGAATAAGAGAGAAAGGACGAAGTTGTATTCAAAAAGCTATCATCCAAATTCAATCTAATAACTTTGCTTTTAAAAAAATTAACTTTTAAACTTGAGACTAATTCAAATCCTCGAAGCATAACTTTTATTGCCATAATATTTTTCCAGTTTGCATCCCCTAAAATCACTATATCATCTGTAAATTGAAGCAGGCTAACTTAAAGATAATTTAAAAATTTTAAAGGGTGAAAAGTCATAGTGGAAATAACATTCTCCATAAGACCCGCTAATCCTTGAGCCGCAATAATGAAAAGCAACAGAGATAAAGGATTGCTTTGGCGTAAACCTCTCTCTAATTTAAACACCTGAGTTGGGCTCCCACTAACCATGACAGATAAAGTAGTCGAACAAATGCAACCTTGTATCCATTTAATCCACTTGGAACCAAAACTCATCTTCTTAAGTCCAAAGAGCAAATAATCCCACACAACTGAATCAAAAGCCTTTTCAAAGTCAACTTTAAAAAGAAAAAGACTCTTCTTATTTCTTCGAGCAAAATCTGCCACTTCGTTGATTATTTGATATGAAATTATCAATAACCTTAGCCAATCTTCATCCAAACAACTTAGAAATCATTCTATAAATAAATGTTTGTCACCGTTGTCCAAACAATCGCTTTAACATCCTCGATTGAAAACAAATCTTAGTTTCTGAAGACAATTTATTAAAATCTACCCCTTCCAATCTTAGTCTTCTATGATTTGGTTATTAGAAAACATATAAGAAATACTTGAAAATTTATGCTTTAACCCCCTCCACATCTTTAATTAAATTATCACCATCTCTAAAAAGTTTGGTTCTTAGAGCATTCTTAAAATTCAAAGATTTTCTTTCAAATGAGTATTGGTCAATACGTTTTCTTTCTTCTCATAAGTTGCGTCTTTTCTCATCTCATTGATGATCGTATATTACTAATAATTTTTCATTTAAAAAAATACTTTTTTATATTCCTACACAAAATAATTCCATTTTAAAATGGATAACAGAATATTAGAAACTGCCGTCTCCAATCCCATCTCCATCATCTTACTACCAAACAACAATAATCGATTTTTAAAAAATAATCCAATAACAAATAAAACTAAACAAAAAAAGTGCGTTTCACCCTTTCAGCTTTTTTCACTCTCCTTTTCGCGTTTTCAATAATCGCGTTCTGTTTCTCTCTCTGCATCGCGCTTTTTAACTCAAACCGCGATTCCAGAATATTCAACCACCATGTTCCTCATCCACTTTTCAGATTCAGGTATCTCCACTTTCCAATCTCTCTCGCTTCTTCCAATCATTATATGCGTTTTTCGCTTCAACACAATGTCGTTAATCTCGTAAATAGCAATTATGATTAGGATTAACATTTTAAGCAATCTTGATTTTTGATTAATCCAAACGTGTTAATTGATAAACATGAATTGTTATTAGATAGTTGTGTGGAAATTGAATTGTTAATTAGGGTTAATTAATTTAATCGATTTTTTTTTGGGTGTACCGTTGAACGAGTTTTTGTACATTTATGGTTTTTGGATACCAAATAGAGGTTGCGTGTGTTGATTGTATTTGAAGTTTTTTAAGTCGGCTATATTTGTTTTTGCATTCAAACGTTACTTAATGAGCCTTTCTTTTTTGAATATATTTAAAAGGTTACTTAATGAAAGTTTGCTTCTTTGAGTCGGTGAAGTTTGTTTGAATTCCTCTGTTTCGTAAATTCAGAATTTGCTTGGAAAGTGGTGAACTTCAACCTTCAACAAGATAGCTTTGTGTTTGTTTATCCATTTATAGTGTCTGGAATTGGCTTTTAAGTTCAATTTTGAATTGGTTTTCTACTGGTTTTTGTCAAAAAGATAAGTGGGGTGTTAGGAATTTGAATGTTTTAAGTCAATTGGCTTTTTAAGTTCAGTTTTCTACTGATTTTTTGTCAAAAAGATAAGTGGGTTGTTAGGAATTTGAATTTTTGATTGGTTTTAAGCCGGTTTATAAAGTCTGGAATTGACTTTTGAGTTCAATTTGGTAGTTGGGTTTGGTTTTGGATTGGTTTTCTCTTTCTGGATTTTGTTAGGAGATAAGTGGGGTGTTGTTAGGATTTGGAATTGGAATTGGTGTTGTTACTGTTGTTGTTTTGGTGTTTTCCAGAGAATTAAGTTGATGGGGGGACAAAGTTCTAAAGAGGAAAATTTGAGGCAGGATTCATCTTTGCGGTCAAGTTCATCTGCTTCTGCTTCTTCGTGGAATTCATATCCTGATCCTCATTTGGGTTACGGTCAGGGTGGTTATCCATATAGCTATGATGCACAACAGCCTTATCAACCGTATTATGATACCCGGCCTCCTCCTCCTCCACAAAATTATGACCATGAGCCTCATACTAGTGGTAGAGTGCCCCGTCAAGACGATAAGAGAAAGTTAGAGAGGAAATACTCAAGGATTGCTGATAATTACAACTCCATAGATGAGGTAAGAGATGCTTTGCATGTCGATTAAAAGATCCTTATACTGCGAAGATATTTTGTATCTACTTGGGAATTGAAGTGCTTCACTTCTTCTAGCTTTTTTTCTTTTTTAATTATATTCTGGCGACTGGCATTTAGGCGATTAAAAAAAATAATCATAACAGTGCAATTGCAGTTGATTGTTATATTTAATTTGGAGGGTTGTGATGATTCTCTGAGATAGATTCATTTAGAATTTGATACTTGGTAGATTTTAAAATAGCATGTCTTGTGCTTGCCCAACAAAATACCTTTGAATGACTGTCAGTCTGTCATCTCATCTTGCTTCCTATTTGTGTTGATATTTATGTGACTTGGCTGAAAATGATGTTGTCTTGCAATTCTTAAAATTCCTTCTCATTGACAATGCTACTTATTCATCTTTTTGTTTTGGGAAAACTCTTTTTCTTTATCATTATTTCAATTCTTAGTACTCAAGTATTTTTTATACTTATATTTCATTACAGGTGACCGAGGCTCTTGCACGTGCAGGCCTTGAGTCTTCCAATCTTATTCTTGGAATTGATTTCACCAAGAGCAATGAGTGGACAGGTTGGGTCATATTTATAAATGTATAGTTTTCTAAGCTAAGATTTTAATTTATGCGTTATATTATTGTGAAATATATGCTCGGCTTGATGTTGCTTTCAGGAAAGCATTCATTTAACAGAAAAAGTTTGCATCACATCGGGAATGGTCCAAATCCCTATGAACAAGCAATATCCATTGTTGGAAAAACCTTGGCCGCATTTGATGAGGATAACTTGATTCCTTGTTTTGGATTTGGAGATGGTATCTCTCAACTTAGAAATTGAATTGTTTTTTCTCTGTGTGATTTAAAATATGCTAATGAGCATTACTGTGATATTATGGCAGCATCAACACATGATCAAGATGTCTTCAGTTTCTATCCAGACGAAAGATTTTGCAATGGATTTGAAGAAGTTTTAAGTCGGTATAGGGAAATTGTTCCTAATATTCGACTTGCAGGTTATACATCTACTACTTTTCACGTGGTTCTTGTAGGGATTCTACTTATTCATGTTATAGATTTTGTAATACTGAACTAATCATACTATGTCTTAACATCAGGCCCTACATCCTTTGCACCCGTTGTTGAAATGGCAATGACAATTGTTGAGCAAAGTGGAGGCCAATACCATGTTTTAGTGATAATTGCAGATGGCCAGGTATTCTATTCTCTATCCAGTATGTGTATCTGGTCTTTGAATAAATCAGAAAGACTGGATTGCTTCCTGCTTTCTCCATTTGTTCTTATATCGTTTCAAAAGGAAAAAGTAGTTGAATTTGTAATACGAACAGACTCAAACAGGGTGTTCATTTTTACCCACCAAAGTTTTAACAACTAAGTAGAGATACTTTTGGTTTATGCCCCACCCAATCATTTGTTTGCTTATTTGTTGGGACTGGTCTTTTCCCGATTTGATTTGATTTGCTTTCAAAACATCTTATGTTATATATATGTACATGACTTTGTTTGGTGCAGGTTACAAGAAGTATTGACACTGATCAAGCGAGGCTTAGTCCACAGGAACAGAAAACTGTGGATGCCATTGTTGAAGCCAGGTGATTGATTATGCTGCAAGATTATTCTTAATAATGTTCTATTTTTAAATATCTTGTCTTAATATCTACTTTGTTGCAGTAAATTTCCTCTTTCAATCATATTGGTCGGTGTTGGAGATGGGCCTTGGGACATGATGAAGGAGTTTGATGACAATATGCCAGCCAGGGTCTTTGATAATTTTCAGGTAGATAATGATGAGCTTACAGAATATTGATTAATTAATACTAGTTAAAATGTTCTAAATAATTGGATTTCATCCCCTAAACTATTGTGAAATTCTCTGATTCTTTAGTTTGTGAATTTCACGGAAATCATGTCAAAAAACGTTCCTCCTTCACGAAAAGAGGCGGCTTTTGCTCTCGCAGCATTGATGGAAATTCCTTCTCAGTATAAGGCCGCAATAGAGCTTGATCTACTGGGGTAAAATTTTGATTCAATACCTTCAGTATTATTCTGTTTCTTTTTAAATAAATAAAAAATCTTAAAAATTTATTTCTGACAATAATTTGTTCATATTTGTGCTTCTTTATCTCAAACAGTAGTCGGAAGGCTAGTGCTCCTCAGAGAGTTGCTCTCCCAACACCCTCTTATGGTTCAGCGTCTTTTACCACTTCAAAACCTTATGGGTCAGCATCTTTTGGTGCTTCAAAACCTTCTCATGCCGCTCCTAGTTTTGAACGGAGTGCACCTTCTTACCCTGACGACAGCAAACTAGTTGGCGCAGCTCCTTCAGCCCCAAGTTCTAATTATGAAAACCAGGTACAACCTACAAAGTGCTTCTAATAAAAATGTGTCATGTTCTTGATCTGGTCTTTTGTGTTCAAACACGAAAGTTACAGGAAATTGCTTAAATACTACTTGTCAAGTTGTCAACTGTCATGCATCATCCAGGTTGTATTATTTGCATAATTTTATTTTTCGGTTGCTTGCTGTGTATTTTTATATGTTCAATATTGGGGTTGAATTTGAAATGGTTCATGCTAGCATTAATTTATTATTATACCTTTCCAAACTGTAAAATTAACAAATTAATTTGGTCTTGTGCAGCTTTGCCCTATATGTTTGAGCGATCCAAAAGACATGGCCTTCGGATGCGGGCATCAGGTAAAAGCAATATTTTCAAGAGCAAATTTACAAATTGGTCTGCTTCAAGAAACAGATAACACTTGGCTCATAAGCAGTAAAAAACTCTAATTAGGTTCATAAGAATCTCAAATTTGGATTCTAATAGGTTTTAAGGATAATTTATATTTGATCAACATTTGAAATTCTTTAAGGATCAAATAAGTATTCTGTTCTTTATTAAATATCAAGTGTTTTTTTTTTGCTTGGGTTCTAATGCTAATGATTTCTTTGTTAAATGACAGACATGTTGTGAATGTGGACAAGATCTGGAGACGTGTCCCATCTGTAGGAGCCCCATCAACACCAGAATAAAGCTTTACTGAGCAGCATCTTCTGTTGGGAGTGTTTATATGTGTTCTTTGAATTTTTGTGTGGCTGTATAAAACATTAGATCAAATATTTGTTTCTCCTGTGAAAAGTGGCACTTCCAATATGTAACCATTCCTTATTTTATTCATTTTTTTGTTTCTGATAGTGATGGCTTGGCAACTTAAGTTTTAGCGGATGAACTTCGAAGCTTGTAACTGAATTTTTTTTTTGCAGATTGATTTTGTAAAAATCAAGGATAAATTTGTTTATGGATTTGGAATTAATTTCAAATTATTTATTGATCTGCATCTGTTGTGACAAATGATTAAAGCCAGCTGCCAATGATTCTGGGGCAGGAGTTTTATTTATTTACTTCAATATTCATGATTCTTTCCTTTTGTATATATAGGAATAAATGGTAGGAATTAATCTATGTAACACATTTCACATGGTATTAGCAGCAATGTTCTGATCCAAGAAAATTCCCATGGTCAACGAGTACAACTTACTACACCTTGGATCCAAAAGAAAACATCACAAAAGGGATGCTAGTAATAATACCATTTGTTTGATCGAAACATTTCTCATAGAATTATTTACAATGGGCTAAATAATGTTAGTGTTTTCATTCTATCTCATAGAATTTGGATGAAATAATTGGAAGAATACTTGCAATTAAATTTCTTCCCAAAATTCGTGAAGCCGTGGTTAAAATAATTAGAGAAAATGTAAAATAAATAAATTATATTGAGACCATAATCTAAGTACCAATGTAGAAAGCTTTACTATGCAATAGATCAAGACATATAAAAGAGATATTGAGAGTACTCTGAGGAAAATTATTAGATTTTAAGCCATGCTCGTCTAAAGATATTGATCTGGATTAGGCCTACACTTGCCCCACAGTTTGGAGGTCCAATCCAGCACTCTTGTATAAGGTCCAAAGGTAAATAATCTAAACTAGGGACTGTGGGACGGCTCTCCACGCATCAGTTGGGGAACGTGGCCCACGTGTCCGCGTCACTGTCATCTTCACTGTCCTCTGGAAATCGCGGATTCAACCCCTATTCTCACGGAACAGTTGATCAGGGAGAGTCCATTTGCTGGACTCCATACACATGTAAGCCCTGACAGTCTTCATTATTGACCTCATAGTGGCCCAACAATGGAGACCTTGACCCAGCGCTGGAGGCTATAAATACCCTCTCATTTGAGAGGATCAGGTATTCATTCTCATACTCATACTCACACTTGCTTGAACTCTCTTCGAAAGTTACTTTGGCATTGGAGTGTCTTGCAACCTCAACTCGATGTAAGGCCTTAACGATCACTCTGGTCAGGTACGATCAATAGCGCCGTCTATGGGAAATTAGCTTCCCCGTCTTCATTTACCTAAGACAAAATCAACTCCAATTTCTTGATTGTCATGGCCGACCCAGTTGTCAACAACATCTTGGACGCCCATCTCGCCGACCCCAACAACAATGTCGTAAACACATGGGCAACAATAACAATAATAATGGGAACAACGACGACATGGCCGGTCTCATGCAGAATTATAGAGATGGCATGATTGCCTCTTCCTCATCACGCACTCGACCACACGAGGGCACCCATTTTCCCAAGAACTATAAGCCGAACGCTTTCCAGGAAGTCCCCGTCCCTCTGGGCGCTGATGCCACGACTCAAGCCCTGTTCGCAGCAATTAACCAGACGAATTACCTAATCTTCATGCAAGGTGAGCGGCTAAGGGTGCTCGAGGTCTCTATTCGAGTCCCCAGAAGACATAGGAGGCCCGACACCCCTCCTCCTTGTCAAGATGAAGACCGTCTTCAATCTCCCCCGCGGAGACACGGACGGGACAGGTTGCGAAGGCTCCCACGTCCTCGTCAGAATGAAGACCGTATTCAATCTCCTCCGCAGAAGCACAGACGGGACATGTCGCGGAGCCTCTCTCCTCGACAAACTGGAAGACGCCCCGCGTTAGAGAGAACCATGGCCGAGGCTCCCGGGAGGTGCGACCTCACCCCCCGTGTAGAGAACAATGATCCCCTGAAAACAGAAACAGGGGCCATATAGAAGCACATCTTCGACCAAGGGATCATCCCCGAGGCCAAGTACACCACTACGACCGCTGATACAACCGGTCTCCTTCCCGCTCCCCCTATAGGAGCGACGAAGACGACCCCCACGACCCTTTAGCACAAGCAATCATGGAGGCGCCCATTCCTAAAGGAATGGAGAAGCCTCCCCAACTGAAGGAGTATGATGGCATTGCCGACCCAGTCGACCACATCGATGGGTTCGAAGCAATGCTTCACTATCATAACGTCGGGGGACCAATGAAGTGTCGGTTGTTCCCCAGGACCTTGAGGAAAACTGCGATGGACTGGTATAAAAATCTCCCCCCAGGGTCGATCACCTCCTGGAGGAACTTGAAAAACCAGTTCATCAGCTCCTTTACAGCGTCTCGTCGAAACCCGAAGACTGAGGCCGCCCTTGAATCTATCGTCCAAATAAGCGACAAGACCCTCAGGGAGTTTATAGATTGGTTAAATCGTGAGGCTATTCAGGTCCCCTACACCGATCACATGAAACAATATCTGCTCGAGAGGGGACTCCTCCCGGGCACGGAGTTCAGGAAGGTCGTTGGCATTGAACCACCCTAGACATTTGATGCTCTCCTCGAAAAGGCTAGAGCCTACATGGAATACGAGGATAGGGAAGCGGCCTACAAATCCCGCGATCCAAGGAATCGTAGACCAACCAACGCCCTGCGACACCAGGATGCAACCCTTCCTCGACGAACGGGCGAGAAGAGGAGGGATGAAAAACTACGGGATCCCCGCAAGCACAGGGGGCCCGCGGGTCAATTCAACGAATACACTTCGCTAACAGCTTCCTACGAGCGCATCTTGGAAGATTGTGCTAATACCGACTTCAAGGAAGGCGGCATCAAACGTCCCCGCTCTGCCCCTACAAAGCCCAGGGCTGACAGGAGCAAATACTGTCGGTACCACCGGAGTCACAGGCATTTGACTGAAGACTGCATCCATATCAAAGACGCCATTGAAACCCTTATCAAGGGTGGTAGGCTCGGGAAATATCGCTGCAATGACGCCCCTCGCTAGGATGCCCGCGAAACAAGAGAGGTTGAGGAAGACACCCAGCCATCAGATGGAACGACCCCCATCCAAATAGCGTTCTCTGTTACAAGGCCGGAGGACTTCTACGTTCCCGACATACACGAAGAAGAACCTTTGTCCATGCACAGGTGGGAAAAATTCCCCTCTGCCATGGTTATAACTGGAAGGGGGTTCAACTACATATCCATAAACTCCACAAAGAGGAAGCTCTACGAGTTGGCCGACGCAACCCCGACTCAAGTGGTAACTTTCGAGAAGGTAAAGGGAAGATCAGAGCCGATCACGTTCTACCTCGAATAGTTACACGGAGGGGCCCCTAACTCGAGCATCCCTCTTCTGGTAAGGGAGAGAATGGATAATTTCGACGTTCACCGCGTCTTGGTCGACGAAGGGAGTCCTGTCAATGTTATGTACAACCATCTCTTCCGAACCCTACAGATCGACGACACCCACCTTTCACCATACGTGGGGTCTGACCTGAAGGGCTTCAATGGCTCGACCTCTAAACCATGGGGGTATATGGAGCTCTTTGTCACCTTCGTGGAGGAAATCTCCGCCCGACAGGTCAAGGTACAATTTTTGGTCATCGACTTCCAGTCTCTCTACAATTGTATCCTAGAGAGACCAATGTTGGCCGAATTAACCGGTGTCCCCTCCATCGTCCATCTAAAGATGAAATTCTACACGAAGAGGGAACGCGTCGCCACCATCCACGACGACATCTCAACTTCCCGAAGATGTTTCAACACAACTTCAAAGGGACAAAGTACTATCGAAATTGGGGCGCGACCTGCTAAGAGAGTTGCTACCGCCGTACCTGAGCCACAGCCCGTCAAGACAGAGGAACAAAGAGCTCCTCCCAAGGTCGACTCTATTTCGCTGGACACCCTCTTTGACAAGGATGAAGCACCTAACAGAGAACTGGGACTCCTTCGACCAATCTCGGACATAGACTTTGAGTTCGTCCCCCTCGGTGAAGACCCTCACAAAGGCGTGAAGATCGGCACCGAAATCCCCGACCTGGAGAGGAAGCAGATCAAAGCTTGCTTAAGGGAGAACGCAGATCTGTTCGCGTGGAGCGCCACAGAGATGCCCGGACTCGACCCCGATGTCTCCTGTCACCACTTGGCCATTAATCCAATCGCTAGGGCCATAGTATAACATAGACGTAGGCAGTCTCCCGAGAAAGCGGAAGCTACTGAAAATGCTGTAAAAGACCTCCCAGAGACAAATTTTATTTCCGAGGCTCTGTATTCAACCTGTCTCTCAAATGTTGTACTTGTTAAGAAAAATAATGGAAAATAGAGAATGTGTGTTGACTATACTGATCTTAATCGGGCATGTCCCTAAAGACGCTTTTCCTTTACCTAATATTGATATGCTGGTCGACAATTCGACCGATTATAAAATTTTGTCATTTATGGATGCCTACTCGAGCTATAACCAAATCCTGATGGTGATGAGCGACAAGCATTGCACTGCTTTCATGACCAGCTCGAACAATTACTACTACAATGTAATGCCCTTTGACTTAAAAAATGCAGGAGCAACATACCAGCGGATGATGAATAAAATCTTCCGCAATGAGATCGGGGATATGCTCGAGGTATACATGGATGACAGGATCTTCAAATCTCGAGCAGACACCGACCATGCTGCCCACCTCAAAAAGGTCTTTACCTAAGAGAGACAATGCAAAATGAGGTTCAACCTTGAGAAATGCACTTTCGGGGTTAAGGAGGGAAAGTTCCTTGGTTTTTATCTAACATAACGGGGAATTGAAGCCAACCCCAACAAATGCCAGGCATTCTCCGAGTTTCCTACACCTAATTCAAAGAAATCCATACAAGTCCTAAACAACATGATCA